TAGGGAAAGCTTTTGTTTTGCTCAGAATCTGTCTCTTATTTAATCAGAATCAGACTCTTATGTAATCAGAAATTACCTTCTGGAAAGAAACAAGGATCTTTGTAAAAAACGGTGTGTGCTTTCCAGTGGAAAGTTTCAGTTTTGATGAACTGACATTTTGTAACAAAAAAAGTATATCATCAAAAAATTTCAAGCCAGTTCTAGGAGAAACTCTTTTTTTCATTCTTTCTTATTTCAAAGAAAGAATGAAAAAAAGAATTCTTTCTTTTGAAAATAAGAATTCTTTCTTATTTTCTTATATGAAAATAAGAATTCTTTCTTATTTTCTTGTTTCAAATACAAGCATTGCCACCATAATTAAATGATCTGTTTCACAAGATAAAGGTATTCCAGAAACTAATATTGCATTTGCATTTCTACTAATTATTCTGATTGCAAGTTATCTTGAAAACACTGTGCCTGTATTACAGCATTTACTTTTTTCTACTTCTATATATTTTGAAGACATAAGATTTTCTCTGTACAGATATCTATGGAACTTCTAATACTTAACATTCAAATTCGTTATTAAATGAAACTCATTAATTCTCAGTTCAATTTAAAATTCAGCATTTGCTCATTTCTCTGATTCAGCATTCAAAATTTATTTTGCTTTATCCTGATGCATTATTTACTTTAAGGCTCATGTCGAAAAAAAAGTTTCTGCAGCAATTACATTTAAGTACATATAGAATAAAATTTCCACAAATGTAACCTGTATTTAAATGTTTGCCCTCTTCTGACTGTGAAAATTCACAGTCCTCAGGATCAAACACAAGCAGTCCAGGTGGCAAGGCATGCTATGGCATACTGCTTATCTTATAGTGCACCTCAAGTCGGAATAGCAAAAAGTGTAAACACCTGCACAAGTGAATACAATTATAAACATCTCTTACATCTTGAGTTGCTGAGTTGCTAATCCTGCAAGAATCAATTATATCAAAAGTATTGACTGGAACTTAAGTGAAAGTAACTGTCATGGTTTCGGGTGATATTAACTCAGCTATCTACTCCATCCCTCTGCTATGTCCTCTCCCTCCAAAGTGAACGAGACAAAACAGGTCTCCAATTGTCAGCCTTTGAATTTAAACCTTCATTTATCTATTACTTAAATTAAGGGTCCAGGAATCGTTGAAGCATTGTTGTATTTTCCTGACTTGGTTAGGAGACTAGTCACTTCTGATGTATGGGCAACAACAGTGTACAAAGTTTTGTTGGGTTTTATGTATTTGTCTGCAATCATGAAAAATGAACACTTTTCTCTTTTAATAGAAGCTATTTTTTTTTAATCCAGGGGTTTTCTTTTAATCCTTTCATGTGATTTTATTATCAGAGGGCCAAGCACATACATGTCTTCTGTATGGTATTTCTCAAAGCAATTCTGTTTACATCAATCTCTGAGCAGCCTCTGAATAGGAAACAAAAGCTTAAAAGCCATTGTGGCAGCCCTCCTGAAGCTTAAGTCTGGTAACAGACCAGACAATAGGTGGTTTCCCTGTTCAGAAGAATGCAAGACACATCACAGTCAATAAGAGAACATAAGAAGGTAATGGAAAAAGGAAAAAAATGAAATAGGGTTAAGATAGCTCTGTGCATTTAAGTGCAGAAATGTAAGGAGGACATGATCAGATAATCTTATTGTTCAGATAAGAGTATTGTCTCTGTTGGGATCGTTTGGTGTTTTCTTTATTTTATTTAGTACTTCAGATCTTAGATCTCCTATGTCAGTCACTGAAAAGCAATTTTTACAAAATAAATTGAGGGCTCTACTTGAGTCTGAATCTGTTGACTTTCCCTATTCTGAATTCTTCTGAAGCTTAATTTTCCTTCACTTTTTCTTTTTTCTTCCTTTGAAATGCAGCAGGTTTTGAAGCATTCAAGAAGTTATCCTTTCCCGGCTTCCAGGGTATGCTCTCTGAAGACCTAAGCCCTTATTGCTAGGGCAAATGAAATCAAGACTTATCAATCAGGGAGGTATATAGACAGATTTCGTTCCTTGAGTCTCTGAAAACTCATTTGTTTTACAGAGCAAAATTCCGATGACGCTTGCATACAAATAGCACCCACTATTTACTCCCTTTATGTGGAACTCTAGATAGCTCTGCCTATAGTAGATGCTTCTTGAATTACTATTGTATGAATAATCTGGCAGAGTAGATACTTCTAATGCTATTGTAAAGCCTTTGTCCTCTCTCATATTTTGTTACTTTTCAAAGGGCTGTCTGTGCATTTAAGGTACAGCGCTGAACTACAGAAGGTTACAGCCCGTGACTGACTGGGAGAGCATCTGCAGAAGTATTGTGATAACAGTGTCTCATAATGTACAAGTGTTTACTTGCTTGGCTGATAATGATGGGGGAAAGGTCTAAAAACTACTGATCTCTTTCCTAACTAAAACCAAGCCTGCTTGAAGCAACCCATTTTTATAAATAAATTTTCCCCAGGCCCAAATTCAATACGATTTGCTTTTAAAAAACTGTTTTTTGTACAATTTTCTTCAAAATGGATTCAGCATAAAGGAGAATAGAGGTCCATGGGAAGAGAGGAGAGTTCTTCACTTTTACTCTGGCAAAGTAAATTGAAGCTCCTTGGCATCATGATTTATAACTTCTTGAGGAAAATAAAACAACGATGAGGATTTTTAAGTTTACCAAAATTGCCAAAAGCTCTAAATGGTTAAGAAAATTACTTCCACAGATTAAAATATCCATATGGTAAGATTACCTAGATATGACAGCAGAGATGACATTAATTCAGATGACTTTCTACCTATATTAATTCTTACTTTATGAGGTAAGCACAGCTTCAAATTATCAAACTATTTTCTCATGTTGATATGTGAAAACTGCTATATTATTTTCCTAGGCCTTTCTCTTTAATCATTCAGATATTTGCAAAGTTTCTGCCCACTTTAAGGGCTGGTTTTGTTTGGTTGATTTTCAGGAACTTTTTTCTTTACTGGAAAATACTCAGTTATCTGCTGAACAATATATGTGGCAGAGTTTTGTCTCCAATATTCTAATAAAGCTTAGAGGGAAATAGAGCTCCTATGATTAAATCTGCTAGTAAAAGGATAATATATTGTAAATCAGCAGCAATAACGATCCATTACAATTACAGGACAAGAATTAAATGACCATGTTATGGCAATAGATTTCATAAACCAGGAAAAGTAATCTCATTAAGAAGTATAAACTTAACAAAAAAAAGGAATACAGCTGCATATGTCAGAGGTTTCACCTGGTTTTAATATATATGAGTAGCTATGAAATTGTACTTTCGTGCCAAATCATACATTAACTTGAAGGCATGTGCTGTCATATTGTGATATGTATTAATGTAATTCATATTAATTCATAATGTCAAATATAAACTAATGTCATCAACCATATAGGTCTCTTTCTCAGTTAAGCCTTATACTAGTATTTGAACTCACTCAATCCTTGGGCCTTAAAACACTCTTTAAATCAAACCGTTATTAGTTTATCTGCTTTTCTCATTATTTGTAAGCTAGTCTAAGCCTTCAGTGTCTGTAAATTGGAGTAATCTGACTGCAGTGTATGAGATCACACTGTCATATATTTGAAAATATGGCCTTTCCTTATTTTTTCTTCAGGAACTGTATGTGATATACCTATTTAGTATAAATCTCACATAGCTTATGGGTTCTCTGCTTGGCAATAACCATCTAGAATTCCAGAACTGAATCAGAGAAGGCTGCAGGGGAAAAAGGAAACAGGAGTAAACCAACAGCAAAGATAAAGCCTTCACGTGGAAGAAGGACTTTCACTGCATCCATGTAGAATTAATAGTTCTGGCACAGGCAGCATGTCGTAGTTTTTGCTTTGTAAAAAGCTAAGATATCCCAACACAGTAGAAATTTAATCTGGGATAATGAGGCAGTGACGTGACCGCCATCCAAAAAGGCTACTGACGGGGTTTCGGAGAGACAGAGAGCAAAAAGCCTGCTTTCCCAAGACAGAGCAGGAGGAGGAAGCAACAGGGGGTTCCCAGGGCCAAGGGGAGTCTACCCAATGCCCAACGGTGCGCTCTACTGGTGTCCTTGCCTATTTTAGTCCTTTCACATCCTCTTCCCTTCTGTAAAGGAAAAAAAACCACACACACACACACAAAAACAAAAAAAACAAATAAAACCTATGTTCATTTTGGATAGATTTTGAATCTTTCTAAGCAGGTATAGTCACACCTTAGTGAAAATTGCTAAACTTAGTTGGGCATGTAACGTTTCCCATAACTTGGATACAGAAGACGAGTTCTGTACTGTGTTTAAGTGCAGGCCAACCCATCTTAAGAAAATACATTTTGTTTATATAATGTCTACCATGATAATTGTTCTTCTTTGCAACATGATTTAATTCTTGGTGTAATAAAACAGCCCAGTTTAAAGCAAACAGGTCAGTTCAATGTTCAATCATAAACAGGATAGTTGTTAATATATTAGCTAATAAATAAACCGGTAAGTAAGCTAGTAAATAGAATTAATGCCTAAATTTCCATCTCTCTAAATCCATCTTTTCCTCTTTAGATTTAAATAACGTGTCATTTCTCTCTATAAAACATTCTAACTTCTTTCTATTCACTTGAGGCATTTTTTCCATTATTGTCACATTAAGTGAGATCTTAGGGCTCTACAGATTCTCCTGAGTCGCCAGCTGAACATTTGTGATAACTCCCAAAAGGTCTTTCTGTGGTTTTAGTAGCAGTGACAATATCATGAGAAAATCAAAGATCATTCAGACAATTCTTGTCAATGACCTGTTCTTCCTATTCCCTTTTTTTGATTATTTAGGACAAAAAGTGAAACAGTGGGACGCTGTCTTCCCATCTAGCACATCACTTCAACTTGTTATTTTAACTTCCCTTGCCAAGTTTAAATGTTGCTATGCTATTCATGTAGATTTAGTTGGATTCAATTTAATTCATTTAATTCAGTTTTATCTTATGTCTTTCATACAAAGTCTCAAAATGCTTTACAATTGAAGATAAGAAATGAGAATGGGATGCAGTAGTAATATGGGAACATTTACCCTCATATAAACAGAAAGACAGATGATTTTTGAAGATTGACTGGAATCTAAAGAATTGGGGTAGTAACTGGGCACAGAAGAAAACAAAGAATTAGACTTGAGGAAAACTTTCCAAAAGTACAAGTATGAATTTATGTGCTAAACTATGCTTTCTCGATTAGGAAACAGCTCCCAGCTATACTAACAATTCATAATTTAGCCTTCATATCCGTACTGAAAGTAGAGTAACACAAAACACTGGGTGTATAACAATGCACTGATGTGGTCATGAAGACACTTGTTCAGTCTAATGCACATTTTTAGACTTTTCTCTAATATATAAAAAAAGAGTTTAGAAGATAATTTAGGAAGATAAAGGCTGACTATTTCCCCAAAATTCTATCTTGTGTAGAACTAACTTAAACAATTCACTACTATTTCTATCCTACTAATTCTGTTCTTAGAAATTTTATGTAGAAAGAAACGCAGAAAGGAAAAAAAGAAAGAAAAACCAAAGACAATCCAACAGCTATCAAAGCAAAAGTATCCCTTTTTTAGCATCCAAAGGTAGATACTAAAAATAACATAATAAAATAAAATAATTCACTGGAAAAAGTTTATGGAAATAAGGAAACACACTTGATTTGGAATCAATGAAGCCATAAACAGAAAAAGAAGAAGAAGAAGAAGAAGAAGAAGAAGAAGAAGATGACATGGGATTCTAAGGCTGTATTTCCGGTATTCCAGAGTCAAAGATTAGTCTTAGTATTCTGAGAAAGACTGAAAATCAGAGAGGAGGTATTTGGAATTTACGTAATAGAAACCGCATTCAGTGAAGAAGGTTTTGCAAATGATGTGAATCGTGTAGCACAGCTACATGACAAATCTCTGTAACTTAACTCATTCTCTGTGTGCAATTCAGATTTGAAAAATTACCCTGGAATCTTGCTAGAGATTATTAAAACTTTCAAGTGGTTTGTTTGTAGTATTAAATATCCTTAATACATCCTTTCTTACAGTTCAGTATCCAGGAATAAGCCAAAGCTGAATAACAGCCCCAGGATTTGGCCATTTTTTGTTCAAAAAGTAACTGTTCAGAAAGATAATTCTGAATCAAATTCCCAGCTCTATCATGCTCTAAGACTTTATTGCTATTGCAGTCTAAATATTAACGTGAATTTTACTACTAGATTTATTTGTAATTGTTTCTAAATCCTGGATATAGTTTTGGATCTTAGTTGAAATTATGAACAGATTTCTTCTTTGTTTCACCTTAAAAATAGGAAAAAAATACAAGAGCCAGTAAGAACAGGTACACAGGAGAATATCTAGCTTGCATAGGAAATGAACACGCTATATATTAGTGCCTTAAAGACACTGTTGTCATCCTTTTCTACATCCTTTACCAAGTATAGCTCAACTGGACTTGAGTATCTGGCCCCTGATCTTCATAAAGTAGCTTTGGAATGCAAGTTTGTAATACAGAGAAATAAACCTCAAATGTCAGGAAATTAAAATTTTATTCTCTTGCACTCACTACTTAAGACCCCAAACCAAGTTATTTGGTTTTACTGAGAGGGAAGGGTGTTATCTGTACAAGATGAAAGAAATGAAAGGCTGTGGAGAAAGTGTTACACATTTGAAGAATTCTTGCAAACAGTTATTCCTGGGTTCCAGTTATTCCTTGATCTATGTATTCTCATTGCTTCATTTAAAGAAATGCATCCCAACTAAATATATTTCCAATGACTGTACCAGTTTTCACATTTTAAATATCAAGAATAAATACCATAATCAGCAGTGGCTGTTCTGGAAGATCCAGAGAGAGACGCTAAATGAAATAAGTATAAAATATAATGCAGACAGTTCAGAGTTAGCATAAAGGATGAAATGTAGGCAAATGTTCGAGGAAATATTTTAAATGGGAAACAAAGTTAAGTTTGAAGTTTTGCTGTTTTGCTCATTATTTAAACTTTAGGAATAAAAACCTTCTGAGAAGAAGTTATGCACTAAAGCAGATGCTGTTCCCAGAAGGTGGCTGCATTGTTTTTTGGATCCTCACTATAAAAGCTCTTTTCATAAGTTATTGTTTGAACAATTCTTGAATGCATGTTCTTTGAAGTGGATTAATTTGTTACAAAGAAAACATGTAGAATTAACAAGCTAATACTGTGTAAAGAACATGAGTTAGCACTACTTGAAAGCAGAGTTATCCCACATATACACAGGAAGGTATTTTTACATTATACATTCCATTTTCGGTATAAGAGAATCAAGAAAAGATCAGGAGGTGAAAGAAGGATAATGTCTGTGACTCAGACTGGACCTTGGATTTAGAAATGGTGATATTTTAAAATTAAACTGTAGTTTTCTATAGAAGAACAATTGAGCCCAAGTGCGTAATGAAACAGATGTGTAGCAAGGAAAGAGTATCAAAATGCCTTTTGAATAGCCAACCCTCTCGAGCTGTTAGAAGAAGAGGGAACGACAAATGATTTTGCTTAAAGTAACATATGGTGATGAGCCTTTTCCTCTAATATGTGGCTTAAAACCAAATATCTTCAATACAAATGTCTTCTAACTTTACAATAAGTGTGGTCAAGTAAACTATGGAAAACATATAAAGGATTTTCCTCCATGTGCCTTCCTGTTTTCAGAGACTATTATTTTCCTTTTTCAAGACTCCTAAAGCACCTCTAAAATCTTTCTTTTCTTCTCAGTAACTCCTAAACTTCCATCTCCTTCTCCACACATATATCTACTTCTCACCTTTTTATCCCATCACTAGCTAGCACTGTTCAGTGTTCTGAATGTTTGCCCCAGGAGCAAAGTCAGCAAAAGTATGATTGTAGTAACTCATATGTCACAAGATGGGGCAAGATAGCCCATCTTTTCCTGTAGCAAAGAGCAGAACACAAAGGTAAAAATAAATCTGTTCCTATACAATTTAAGTAAACGTCCTTTAGATTTTCAGGTCATGAATTCTATAACATCATTTGTCTTATGAGGTTTGTTTTAACAAATTCAGTGTAATTTCAATGCGACTACCCCAGTTCACAGCAGTTGGCCCACTGTACCTCAAGAAGCTTTGAAGATACCAGAAGGATCATGAATTACAGCTGTAAATGCTCAGGCTATTTTCTTACCTCATTTAATGTAGAGATGATAAAGTGGAGGCTCTGGTAGCTGACTGTACTGAAACCTTATCCCAGTAGAAACAGCAACTTCGTATTTTCTGTAAGAAAACATACAAAATTTGTTACTACATTAAAAAAGACTCTTCTTAGCATTTTTTCTTTCTGGCTTCGGTGAGAAATTTTATTTTTAAGCCCTGAAATCTCTGAATGTGTTCATAAGATTTTTTTTTTCCTAATGAATTCAAAGAATAAAAATGTCATAGATTACGTATGAATGATTATAGCTTTATTATTCCACCTTAACTTCAACAAGCAAGGGATTTAATGTATAAAGACATTATCAGCAGTCTCCTTTCAGCACCTCATCATTTAAAAACAAAATTGACTTAATGGGCTAGATGAAAGATGGTGCTTCCGATTAGGGAGGAGGGAGTCATTGAAAAGCATGCTGGTGGAATTTAGGCTCTTCTGAAATAATGGCATTCAGCAAGCAATATTAGTGCTTAAATCCAATAAGAAATAAGAGGCAGATGGATGCAATAATTCAGGTCAACATGCATATAGAAGCTGTATGGCATTTTGGCAAATGTGCAGTTTGGTACAGTTTCAACTATTCTAGCAGCTTGTGCACATTAAGCAATCATAAAAACAAGACCCATCTCCAGTAATGAACCATGTCTATGGCCACAGAAATGTCTATCAGTAATCAGCTACACCTCTAAATATAAAGGAAAAAAATTAAACACATCTAAGGCATTTGCTGAAAAGCAAAACAAAACTTATTACATTACTACTTAGGAAACATTGTGGAATTTTAAAATACTAGAGAATGGTTTACACTGCAAATATGTAGAAAACCTACTAAATTATTTTCCTACTGAGCTGTTCCTTGTCAAAAAATTACTGGTTAATACCTGTTACTAGAAAACATTTCTGCAAATAACACCTAATGTTTCAAGATTCCAACTTGGCCTGCTCAGCTTACTGGAGGAGGCTCCCTTGGGAAGGGAATATCGCTGACTTTCCGGCCATTCTAAACACCTTTAACACCAGACCAAAATAAATAAACAAACAAATAAAGGATGATTTTGTTTTGCCGTAATGTAAAATCAACAAAACAGTTTCCAGATCTTGAACCAAAGCTACAGAAAAATGACAAATGCATTCTTCATTTCAGTTTTGAGCAGTATCTGGTTCAGCCAGCTAAAACGTTTTTCAGGATGTTTACAGAGATCTTATAACTGGATTGCAATCCTTAAGCAAGACCTTCAGCCTGGGTATTGTTTTCGCTGATCAAATTCTTGAGGAGGACACACGTACATCTGTAGATAGCTGCTTTCTTGGAGAGGTCCCCCTCATAAGCAAATATGACTCCACAGGGAGATGCTAGAATTCATCATCTTTAAAATTACTTCAAAGGACAAGTTTTAACACTACAGCAGGATTCTTGTCTGCCTCTTCCCAACTTTAAACATAATATATCTCTTCAGAGTGATTAGGCAATCATCTTCTGAGCAAAATGTAACTTTCGGATGTTTCTACAGGACTGATAGGAAACCTCAGGATGTTGTTCCACAGCACTTAAGGCTGATCTAAATCAGCGCTGCCATAATTCTGTCTTGTCATCATTGGTGAATTATGACACGGAGAAATTCAGGAGCTAAATTAGCAGGAAATGTTTACTTTTGGCAGGGAGGGAGATTATTTCTCTGTGATTTTAACTCTTTCAGCTGACACAATGCACAAACAACACAAAGGAATAGGCTGCTTGCCCAGAAACAAGTGTATAAAGTGGAACTGCAGCAACACTAACTTGCAGTCTTCCACGACTGTACGCTTAGTGCTTGGCTCCTTATTAGCTGAAAAACATATGTACATAATCAGCTAGAGAAACAGGCAAGCTCTACAGAAACATTTTAAGGAAAACAGTGTATGTAACTCTTTTTGACCACTGGGCACAGAAACAATCAAGCATTTTGGGATGATAGTGGGTTTAGGGTGAATTTCCACAGACCTGAGCAATCCTGTGAGTTACCAGCAACATATGAGATACCTTTTTAAAAACACCTCAGAAGGCTAATAGGCATGCTGTCAAAAGTGTTCACCTGTCCCAGATTAAATTTGAGAGGTAATATGATGGAATGATGCAGGAAAAAGTTGAGGATGTGATGGAATGGATTCATGGTCAACGCCGTTTTCCAGTTTTTCAGCAGAAGGGGAGAGTTTGAAAGAGAGCAGGGGTTAAAATGAATTCTGCCCTTTGCTCATTTTTTGTGCTCCAGCCAAGTGTCCACTTTTTAATACCTGGTTAAAGGTTTCCTACTGCTGCTTATGGCCTGGACCACCTGTTCCCATAGCACGCTCAGATCAGCAGGTTTTGGCAACACCACTGCATGAGAGAGTTTTAAAAAATACTAGTTCAACAGCAGACATTTGGGGTGAGCAGTCTAACCTTGTGATTCGATTGCTATAGATTTGCATTATTAAAAGGATATAGGTGATTATAAAAGGAGGTTCCTCCAAAGTGTCTCCTTTCTACTAGCTTTCAAATGAAAAAATGCATGGATGTAACTAGAAAAGAAAGAAGGAAAAACATTAAATAAATTTGACTGCATGTAAAGCTTGTGGACGTGAAGGAGAAGGGCCTTGGAAGAAAAGCCTAAATTGTATTTGCAACATGACCATTTGCAGAGGATGCAGATCATAATTTGTGGAGTTAAAGGACTGTGAATGACACTAAATTAAGAGAAGTAAGAGGCAAGATGTCTATTGATAGATGAGAATGGGAAGAGCAGATGATAAATTCTCTTTTACAAAGAGGCAAATGAGTAGTGTATAAGAGAACAAAGATCAGGGGGGAAAGAGAAGGTAAAGTGATAGATAGCCAGCAGATTGAATAGGCAGGTTCGTTAGATAAATAATCCTGGAGTGCCAGTTTTGAAAGCTCTCTGAATTATAAATTTTAAATCAACCTTCACATCTGGTCTGTGACAAAACATTGTTATCCATGGCTATAGAGTCATATCTGAAGGAAAATATTCTCAAAGACAATTATATGCCTTTTATATTTAGCTTTTTCATCCGCAGAAAAAGAAAAAAGAAACTTTTTTACCAACAAAGCTGAAGCTGTTTGTTTGTTTGTTTTAAATAAACTTCCTCTCGTTGCTCATAGACTCTGCAAATAGTTCACATCTCAAGCAGTGAAGTAATGCTGCCATCCCAGGAGGTGAGAAGAAAGAGGAGGTCCTCCTCTTTCTGAAGGGAAGACCCTTTGATTCACTCTAGTCATAGCAGCAGGCTCGCACCTCTACCACAGCAATATTCACTTGAATCTTTCATGGAGAAAATACTGTAGAAATGGTAGAAACTATTTTTTTCTGTTCCTTACTAGGAACAAGCATTAGAGTAAGTTAGTCTTCTGAGACAGATTTCTTATGTTACTGATGTTTCTTGATGAAAATAGAATGACTATAATACTATGCTCTTTGACTGAGGTGCAGCTGCAACATGTTTATTTTGTTGCCCCACTATAGAGGAGTGAGATCTTCTAACGCTGCCTTTCCCTTGATTTGCATCCCTCCACCAATACTGAGTACCTGCCTATTTCCTACACTTTTTGACATCTTCAGGCTCTCAGCACTGCAGTGTTCTTTGACATTCAATCCACAAGGGCATTTTCCTACACAGGACAGCATAATACAAGTGAATCCCAGCCTTTTAAACAAATAATACTAGATCTCACCATTTCTTCCATTCTATCTGAAAAGACAAGATTTTTGCATACTTTCACAGTTTGAAAGAAAATGCACAACCTCATCCGGTCTGAGTCTACAGCATGTTTCCTGATGAAGTGAGAAGTTTTCTTGGGTAGAAGTAGTTTTGTCTGAAAAGATGCGATACTTCTTAGCTAAGAGATATGCTAGTTCTGGAACTAGAAGAGGGGTTGAGACACTTGGATTAAAAAGGCAGCTCTTTGTATGAAGAGGTTCAGGAAGTGAACCGTGAAAAAGAAGAAGGTTCTTTAAGAGCCAGCTTGTGCCTTGCCACAGCTGGCACAGATCTAGAGCTAATAAAGCCCAACTATCCTCTTGCCGATTCAGTCAGGTGTCTCTGCTTGGAGACTTCGGGTCACTAAAGTCCATCACAGCTGGACATGCACAGAGCTGCTCAGATCCATAAAGCTCAGCAGTTTCATAACTATTCATATTAACTGTTTCTTCATAAGGCTTTGAAGCTGTTGTAGCTCCAGTCTTTCATTATCCATGGTGACTTGCAATCCAGAAGATAAATGAGAGTTGGCACAGTTAAAACAAAGAAAAACTTTTAATCTTAGTCAAAGCAGAAGTCTGTTTTCAGAAGAGATGCAAGGGAATTGACTAACACAACATAAACCTAAATGAGTATCACAGTAATATCCCTCCTACTTCAAATACACACCTTCCTTCCTGATTATGCTTGTGTAAGTGTCATCACATTTTCTTTTTTAGATTTCCCCATCCTTGTGAAGTGGATATAAAGAGATATTGCTGAATTTAAGAGAAATTATTGAAAGACGTTTTGATTCCCTAAAACTCAACTGAAAATAATGAGTCCCCTGTTTCTTTCTCATACAGGATTGAGCCCTTTGTGGCCAAGTGCCTTTGCAGTGTCTTGCCACTTAGCATATATCAGTACAGAGCTAAGAGCTAAAAATCAGTCCTATTTTCTGTTAAGAAAATATACTAAATTGTACTACTTGTTAAGCTGTAGAAACTGTTCTTTTCCGTTCCTTACTAGGAACAAGCATTAGAGTCTTCAGAGAGACAGATTTGTTTTGTTATTGATATTTCTTGATGAAAATAGAATGACTAAAATACTGTGTTCTTTGACTGAGGTGCAGCTGAAACCTGTTTATTTTGTTTGCCCCACTATAGAGGAGCGAGATCTTCTAACGCTGCCTTTCCCTTGGTTTGCATCCCTCCACCAATACTGAGTACGTGCCTATTTCCTACACTTTTTGACATCATCAAGCTGGCGACTGTCTCATCCAATTTGCAGGAGAAAACCAAGGTGCTGGCAAGGCTTTCCTGAATGGTAAATATCATCACGGAGTGTGTAACAGCTGAGAATGTTGCCTGTAGCATCTGCCCACATGCTGCTGGACTCTCTGGCACAGCCACAATCTTTCTGCTGGCAGGAAATTTAAAAAAAAAAAAATCAGCTGTAAATGCAATTAACTCTTTCTTTAACAAAGACAAGAATATCACCATATCTATTTAAAAAAATAAGAATAATTTGAGAAATTCACTTATGCTACCCACATGATATCATGTGGGTAGCATAATCATGATACAGTAACTGAGAAAGAAATTCTGTCAAATTTCATGTGGTTACTGTTGCTTGGGAAACCACTTCCTTGGTAACTAAAATACATTCTCAGCACGTCTCAATATCAATTTTTCTCAAGCTCTGAGACGCAGAAACCTGCAGTATGGTGTGAAGAGAAAAAAAAAAACTCAAAAAACAATAACAAAATCAACCTGAAGGAAAAAGGAGAGAATGAGCAAAAGATTTATTGCTGCTGCAGTTTCAAATACATCTAAATGAAAAATAACAATTGAAAATATATCTAGAATTTGTTTTTAACATTGTTTGGAGAGAAATTGTTGATACACGGCAATACATGTGTCTTGAATCATAATTGAGCATGAGGTTGGAGTTAGGTGCTTGTGTGATTCTGAAGTACTGACCCTGAGCAGAACACAGAAAGTTAATTGCAGCTGGTATTTTCTCCTTTGTGTTCCACAATTTGCCATGGCTTTTATTGCTGAACCCACCCTATATTAAATTCAGCTTCCATCCTAACATCTGTTAAGAATAATTTCTTCATATAAAATAATTTCCAAAGAAAACCATTATAGGGCGAAGAGAGTGTAAACCACAGGGCCCTTGCACAGACTGCTTCAGAAGCAGGCTCTGGGAAGCCCTGACACCCTCTCAATGACAGTTTCACTGTCATCATTGCTAAAAACATGTTGATCTTTCTTTTTTGAAATATGTATTTGGTGTGTTTGCATTGAATGCAAGGTTTTTGTCTATTCATCCTTTCATACTAAAACCTTACCTTCTACTTACCAGGACCTCCAATTTCTCTCCGACAACCAGGGCCACGCAAGCAGCGCGGCATGTCAGTTGTTCCTGGACAACATAAAAGAAACTTAAATTTATATCAAAAAAAGGGGAGGAGTGGTCTAGTGATAGCATTAGCCCTATTTGTTTTCATTTTTAATTTTTCTAGGCTTTCTGTTGGAGTTATTGATGGGAAAATCCCCCAGCCCAAATTGGGTGAAACAGAGAGAGACAAACAGAAACAGAAGCACTAAATTCATGCCAGATTAGGTGTTCTATGCATTATTCTTAAAATGCAAACCAGACTCAACAATATGTAAATATGTATATGGGAAAGGTATCTCTGCACAGATGGAAATGTTTAGGATGGCAATAGCAGGCAGCAGGACCTCTCTCCTGCTCCCGCTTGTACTAACTGCTTTAAGACTGAGTGCCTCTCAGCGAGCATGGATAAATAAGTAATGACGCTATACAATTAATTTAAATCACCTATGTTTGTAATCTGTAACAAAGAACTCTTTTTGTATGTGCGTGTGTGAGTACAGGCATCTATATCTGTACATAGTCACAAATACGCACTCCTGCTTATGCAAGGAGGTTAGTAAGTCTTTCTGTTACTTTGTTGCAGACAAACTAATTTACTTGCAGAAGTTCTTTTTGTTCTCGTAAGGAGGAACATCATCCAAAACCATTAATAGTGTCATTTTCACACCTTTAGTTCAAGCATGCCTTCCACCCACGCTCCACATGGTGGAGGATATATGTAAGCCACAGCTCTTCCAGCAATTCAGCAACTTACCAAGTCAATGAAAACATTTAGTGTTAAGCTGCAATAATACATTCATCTGTTTCCTAGTGTTGTTTCCTGGATTAAATATGGGAACAAACTAAGAAAACTGACTACCTAAGACTAGACTTCAAAGTTTGTTCTCTGGAAGTACAGCAGTTTGCATGACGTCTGCAGTATAATAAATGTATGGCGAGGGGGAGAGGGCAGGAGGGTTAGTCTTCACGTTCTGGTTACTAGGAAAGAGATGATGGAGGGACACAACAGATTTGTATGACAGTAATGAAAAGGATAGTGACTCTTTCTGTGATGACTGCCTATGTCAGCACTAGTTTCTCATGAAGTATAATGTCTTAATTTGGAAAAATAAATGAGAATGTCAAGAAGAATTGGGCTGATAGTATATGGGCTACTATTCCCAGGTACTTGAAATATTTCTTCAGCATATGTTTATGGTACTTCAAGAATGAAAAATGACAGTGGGAAATGCCAAGTCTTCCACATTGCTGAGATAGCATTTAAAATGTTTTGGCAGTACTCCTTTCCCTCCCTGCAGAAGTTTAATTACTCTATCCAAAAGCACCAAGTAGCTGTTGGTATCAAAATTATTCAACTACAGATGCTGTGAAAGCTCTAGCCCCTAATGTGAAGTGTAGGCCTTCTGATGTAGGATAATTGTTACCAAATTACTCTTCAGTGAAAAGAAGGAGGTTACATATATATAAATAAGAGAGAGAGAGTGTGTGTGTGTGTGTGTATATACATATATATATATATGTAAGTGTGTGTGTGTGTGTGTGTGTGTATATATATATATATGTTTATGGAATAGGGATAATTCAGGCTTTCTGATTCTTAATTTTTTGGTTATTTTATAGGCTTGCAAGGACTGAATTGAATACTCAAGAAATGCATGTGTAAAAGTTTCTTCATTCTTCTCCTGTCAGCACTCCTGGACTCTAGTTTGAATTTAAATCCTGCAGCCAGACTCTCAAATCTCTCCTGCCTTGGGGTGGATGAAATAAAAATACTTGAGTATGTCAAGTTTCTTTGTAAAAGTTTATCACTATGATTTCACTTGTAAAATTTGTGTCTTGTAGGATAATTGTGCATCCTTGAGACCACCTTCATATAATAATATATTAATATGTAGTGTAGATTTCCATAATCACTTCCAAGCTACTTCTGTGTCTGCTGAGGTTATTGAAAATTTTATTTTTGAAGCCATGGTCAAAAAATGGTAAGGCTTAATATTAAACACATGAAAATAACCAACCCTTGTCACAGGATGTTAGACTTGCATATTGCATGTACAGGGGAGAACACCTCCACAGCCTTTTTCGGTGAGCACAGAATAAAACCAATAGCATCCAAAGAAACTACAGTACTTCACATTATCAGTTCCTAACTCATAATAAAGACTTATGAGCTACCGATAGCTAGAGAGGCTAAGCTATTGGCGAAAAAAGTTCATGAAGCATAGAAAATGCAAAATTCAGGTAGAAATCTTGGTCCCAGGCTTTGCTAAGCCATTGTCTCTCAAGGTTACTGTAATAAAGTCGCTTTTATAACCTGCTTTATGGGTTAAGAAACAAAGGTGACAACAGTTATCTGTGTAATAGTGCATCATACTGGCTGGTACTGAAGTGGCTGGACATTTCAACTTCGCAGTGATTTGAAAATTCACTTTTAGAGAAGCATTTTATTGGATATCAGAAGCCTTCTGCATGTACTTTCTAATGTCTTTCAGTCTAGTATTTCAATAAAAATGAAAAATTTCTATCTTCTAGGCTGCAAAAATTCATAGACCTTGAGCCAAATCAAGACTGCATTTTCAAAGTGTGCATACATTGACATTTAGAATTCCCTGTCTCCGAATATCAGCAAAATGAGAACCTGACAATTTCACTAGAACTACATTCTCATTTTCTCTGAGTAGTATCTTTAAGAGTAGCCCATCTAATTTCAGTGTCAGTACTTACTAGAAACGGTTAATTTCAGACAAAGAATAATTTAAAAGATGTTAGAAGGTTGATTGAAAAACGTCACTCCCGTATTGTCTCACATAGCTTAGTTTAGAATCAGATTTTCTCTCTCTCTGTCACTCTCCCTTTCAATAGGTAGATAGTCCTGTTTCTTACACATTACTAGCTTGATTCAAGCAAATCTCTCTATCTTTTAAAAAGTCAGTGTTTGTATTTTTAATTTCTCAGAGGATTCGGTTTTGTCTACAGTCCTTGGAATGGAGTTGAGATCATTATTCTTGCCTTCCAAACATCCATTTGCAGGCACATCTACCCGAAAGATGTTTTCTATGATTTTTTAAATATACATTTGCCATAAATCTGAGGGAGAAGTTCTTTTAACATAGAGTGAATAAACAAATTAGAATTTATCTTTTAACATGGTGCAAATCAGCATATTAATTTGTTACCTCAGTGTGCAAGAAAGACAGCACAGTTTCTTTGGCACAAATATGACCAAACCCATTTCCAGTAAGGTTTCATTGCAGAATTTTTAATATCCTTCTGCACCTGCCTGTGAAGCTTTGCAGAGCATAATATGCTGCAGGAAATACTGCTCCTCAGTATTAGGATATGCTGATAAATTTTCAAAAGAAAGATTTTTTTAAAAAAGGAAGCGGCATTTTTGCATGGAGACATACCAACTGAGGAGGGTTATTCAGAGAAAAGCTGCACTAGAATAGTTGAGAATCCTAGTGAGAGTGAGGATTTGAGCAGACCAGGGACAAGTAACTGACTCTTTTGTGCCTCTGGTGGAAGTGCTAGTCACTAGGATATTGGTATTCTGTGCCACTTCCCATACGTCTTTAAATATTCATCAAACTAATGAAGGGTGATTTGGAACATTGCCCGTGACATTAACAAATCAGGAGGAACAACATCTCGATCCTCAGCCTCCCAGCAGCTATTCCATTGTTAGTCTCTCCGATGTTTTCACAAACTTAATTTGCACGGTCTTAATTTGTTTCAGTGCAGAATAAAGAACAAATGTCAAAGCCTTGCAATTTCAGCAGAGCTTCCATTTTCCAGCCAGCCTTCCCTACCATTTCTAAAGACTTTTCCTATTCCCCAGAGGAGTCACATTCTCATAGACACAACCCAAACACAGTCCTATGGCGCACGCGTTTCCCCTAACTAGGATAAACAAGCAAGTCATTTATCTGAAGGCTAGTGAGAACTTGCTCTACAGTTATAGGGAACTCAAGCAAAATCAGCTCCAAATGACTTGCAGAGGAGCACACTATATCATTTGGGCCAAAACAAGACCCCCATCTTTCCAAAAGCACTTCTTAACCCCAGTCAAGGAGTCACAGGTAGCACCTTTAAGACTTTAGGAAAAGTCACAGGGGAAAATCCGAAGAACATCGCTAGGCAGAGGAGCAACTGTTACAGTGGCAAAGCAGGGGTCTTCCAAAGAAATGTCCACAGAGTTTTAGTAGGACTTTCACTACCTTCAGCTCTGTTGACACTTGCCCCTCACCATTAGGCTACATCATTTCCTATCAAGCCTCTCTCTTAAAATCTCCTTTTTAGTTTCCTTTGGTTTTCTTTCCATTTAAGAGCACTTTTTGCTTCCCTCATTTGTAAGCTTAGGCATTAAAAAATAAAATAAGTGTAGTTACTATCGTTCTGCCCACTGTCCTTGTGGTTTTCCTCCACTATTCTATCCACTGTCACGGAGAACATGCTTATTAGTAAGTAATAATTAGTTTTCCTACTGTTGCTAACTGAAGTGCAAGCGTATCGGTGGCACCATTAGGAGTCAGTTTTACCAAAAATAGTCATGTCAAATTAGCTAAAAGCATTCCAGACAAAATGGTTTCACTTTTGATGAACAACAATTTTCACTCCAATTGGCACAGCATATACTAGGCTTATCCATCTAGGCATTTCTGTCTTCTCTATCTTAGTTGCCATTACGGTCACATACTCATTCTCTCCAAGATCTCTTCAATGTGTATTTATATCAGCATAATTTCGTATGAATGGTAGCTCAGACCATCACATATTATCAAATTACTTTCTAAAGCAAATACTGTAAAGCTAATTCTAATAAGGCTGCTGCTTCCAAATCTTCTGTCTACCATTAGTTTATTTGCTTTTTCTTCTCCAGCTTCCAAAATAACCATCTATAGGAGAGCACTCATATAGGTGAACATGTTTATGATATTTTTATTAATACTTCTAACACAACAAATCACTTAATATATAAGGAGAGTCAATGATCTTTGGTGTCACATTTTAAAACTTCAGCGGCACAAATATCCAAGCTAGGAAAAGACAGAGATGAAAGGGAGATAGAATAGGGATCTATAAAATGAATTGTGATATGGAAAAGCTTAATACCAAAAGGAGAAATTTCCTCACAAAAATTAAACTGTGGAGATTATTGCTAGTGGATGGTTAAGATTCAGAAGTTTATGTAGATTCAAAAACTAATTTATGGAAGAAAAAAAAATCCACTGAGTATATTAAACACAGGATATCATCTCTGATTCAATGAGTTCTTGAGCCACAACTCACTAGAGGCTAGGAAATACCAGTCTACAATTACCTTTATATTTTTCTCCTAACATCTTCTTGTGGCCCCTTCCAGAGGTGGAGCAGTGCATTAGTTGGTCTGTTGTAGGCCAGGCATATAGAGTCCCTAAAAATGCAAAGCCCCAGCTATTAGCTTGGACTAATTTAAGACTCTGTGTGGAGCTGAACAGCATCTGAGGCTTATTGTATCCTTAGTGAAAGGACTGTTTCACATCCTGTGCTGCCCATGTTGAAAGTATGAGCAGGCTTTTTGTAATCTAGGAGATCACAGTATCACAGAGGATACAGAAGTCATCATCTACTTCTGTTTCTAGAAGCAGTTAAATACACATATGGCCCTCTTCCAAGTTTCTTGTAGTCTTATAGCTATATATCTACCCGTTATGGCTCTACCAACCTGAAACTTGCTCATAGCTGCCAAAGCTAGAGTGGCAAATCCAACAAGGAGGCGCCCCTTCCCGGCAACGGCTCTTGTTAATGTCATGTGTGCACAAAGCAATGATGCTGATGGTACAGCCAGTGCCAGTTCCAGATAACCTCAAAACACCTCTGGTGAAGCTGCTGAGAAATTTAGTTCACCTACCTGAGCTCAGAGTCAGGCCTCTGCAGCTGCTGTATCCAGCCAGTGTCTGCTTTACGTCAGTTCACCATCACGGCTCCTCAGGGGTCACCTCCGCCCCAGCCTGCCTCTAGATCTGATCCAAGAAGGTTATACTATTAAGTTACTCTGTTCTGTGGGATGCTAAAACCTCACCGTTAGACTCTTCCTCAGAGGCTCCTGGGATAGAGTAGCCCAGAAAAAATGAGGACCTTAGGTTGCATCTGTGCTTTTTAAGATTGAGGTACAGATCTAAGACAGTAATTTCCTGTTTCAGCTCCTTCTCCCTGCTCTTTACCACCCACGCCCAAGCTACATTATCCGACTTTACCTTTTGAGTAGCTATGGTGATCAGTTAGCACAATTCAATGCTGTTTCTTGGGTAACAGATTTCCTTAATTATTGATACATATACATTTAAAAAGTCATAAGCGAACCAGGTAAAACATAAATGAGAGAGCTAGGTACTGCTGAACAAATGGAACTTATTCCTGCCATCCTAAAATAACCAGGAGTACAATGAAAGTTCGGAGTACAGTCTTTCCTTTACAGTGACAACTGCGCAATATCACACTGGTAGACAAAGGGACCTGAAAGGTAGTGAGGACAGCAGCTATTAGGATGTGAACAGCAGCTGCCTGACAGAGACTAGGGAGATAAATTCCTGCACGCAGCTTCTGCAAAAACAATGGCAAATAATGTGGCAATGTGTTGCTTCTAGGGAAAAGGCTACTAACCTTGAATTTTAAAACATAAAAAAGTGTTTTGTGCTTGAGCATCTGAACAATGCTTCTGCAGTTAGAAGGTTCTGATCTGGTGCTCTGGACCTAAGTGCTTCTCCCTGGACAATTTTTCCTTAAATTCAAGTAGTATTAGACATATGAATTGTTTTAAATACTACATTTTCTTAGCATTCAGATTAGATTCATTTTAGATTTCCACAGAAATGAATTATAGGTAAAGTCTGGTTGAAAATAAAACCTTGCCCTTTTAATTATTCATCTAATTACAACACGATGATGTGACACTGCAAATTTAAAACATGTCCACGGCTTTAGGAGGTGCTCGTATGGACAGCAAACTTAATGATGGTGTTCATATTGCTCTCAAAGTAATATCAGTTGCACTGAATTTTCTATACTGTCATTAACAAAATGAAAAGGAAACATGAGCCAAAATTGGCATTTTGCCACTTGAGCAATACTGTATGCACAGATCACTATTTTTCTAAGAGAAATCTTTGACCAATGCTTGATATTTAAGCATAAGCATCATACATCAGAAGAGGCTTCACCTTCATCTGCAGTCTATCCTCTTGCTAATGTTGCCCTGTATACAGCTGGCCTTCATTGCCGCAAGGGCACACTGCTGGCCCTTGTTCAGCCCACAGGGACTCCTAGATCCCTTTCTGCAAAGCTACCATTTCTAATGGTAGATAGCTACTCCTCAAAGCAAAAGAATCACACTAACCCTCAGTTCCATATCTTTGTCCTTTTTACAGTATTGATATTTATGAAGGCTGAAGAGAGACCTTTTTACTATGCTTCTGTTATTTTAGTAGCATCCTACATAATCATGAGACCAAGTAAACAAATGTTAGTGTTTCTGAGCCAGACAATGATCCTCATTAAATTGTAGGAATATTTTCCTATCCAGGAGTAGCCCAAACAAGGAAGCCAAACAGGACAATATTTCCAGTTGTCTTCACACATAATTACAGTATACATTCAGTAATTACAGTCTACATTAACCTTTTTCCGTTCAAAAGCTGACATATGAAAGCTCTGGGTCTTCATTAAGATCGGCTTAAAAAACCCTTTCCTATTATTTATGATCCTTCAGGTTATGCATGAACTTTCCTGATGTCCAGTTGATCAAAAGGAGTTTATTAGCTTCCGGACTTCACACAGTCTGCAAGGAAAGGTTCCAATCTTATTAGGAAAAAAATCCTTAAAACTTTATCTCCTTCACTTGCCCCAGACTCTTGACATTTTCTCTCATGTCATTTGAAATGGTGATATTTATACTGTAAATTTCTTTGAGTCTGATTTGGATTGTCTTCTTAGAGCAACACTGTAAAGCCAAAAGGAATTTGCAAACACGTGCACATGAGCGTGTGCTTTTTTTTTGCACAAACACAAAAAGATATGCATAACAAATTGCTTTTCTATAGGAGAGGAAAGTATTTGTTACAGAATATATTTTTAGTATGTCTTTTAGTACCCCTTCAAGTTGTGAGAAGTACAAACCTAATTTAGATCTTGTGTTTTAAGATCAGCAGAAATTAATTTATTTCTGTGCATTGCTGATACTAGGATAGGAGCTAGGACAGCGTGAGATCCCGCATTCGCTATTGCAAGGCCCATCACTCTAAGCTGATTCCAATACTCGGCCAAATATGACATGTGGTGCCAAAAATTCTGGAGGAAGAGGACACACTTTCACCACCCACGTCTGCCTGTCCCAGAGTAGAAATAGATCTGATCGTACAAAAAAGTCCATTACCATTGCACATAATTTCAATCAAGAAGTCATATCAATTGGTAACATAATAGTCTGGCCATATATTTTTTTTACAATACACAAAAGAAGCTATATGGTTTACGGCAGAACTCCTAGAAAGGTACTTCTCATACATAATAATTTATATCATACAGTAACCTGAAGATATTATATGCCTAACTCTGCTCTTTCTCCAACCTAAATATGAGAAACTTTACTGCAGAATCAGAAATGTATGCTTTATTTTTTCGTTTTGCTAAGAACAGGCTGGAAATCAGAAGGGTTCTTATTCTCACACCTTATCTTAAATAAACAACACTTCTTAAATTGCATCACAGGACATGTTTTCAGATTGTGCAACCTGACTGCCACTGTCTGTATGTTAAGGACAACTTGTGCTTCACAGTCTGTTTTCTCTATTCACTATGCAAACTGCTTCATAGCAGAAAAAGCTATAAGCTCTAGGAGCCAATCTGCTACTGTTGTCTGTTTATATAGTCCAATAGCATTTACACGGGCTGGCAGAGAGAATTGCCCTTTGCATGCTTTGTCTCTAGGGGAAATTGGAAGTATGTCCAAGTCTTATAAAATAATGATAATCACACTATACCAAGCACAAAAAGCAGATCCTCCAAGGGCCTTTTCTGAGCAAGTTAGAACTGTGGACAACAGAAAATAGCAGATAACACTTAAAAGAAAAAGAAAAGCAACCCATTTATGCATCAAAGTTAAAGTGGGTCACTCTGCAACATAAAGCACATTTTTAGTGGATATAAATTTAGCAGCTCTCTGCAGCATTATGCATGACAGCAGTCTTGTGATATTTCAAGTACAGAACAGGTCCCTGGAGACACCATGTAATTTATAATGGACTAACCATAATAAATTGTAGCAGTCAGAAAAGGAGCTGGTTCCAATGAAATAAGACACATTGGTTTATTTATTTTATAGGAATGTCCTGTTGAAGCTTTAACTTATCTGAGGTCAGACAGAAACAATGAAGGGTTTGTTTGTTCGTTGTTTAAAAAAGTGCCAGAGTGGAAGCTCTCTTTCTTTGTTTTTTCAGAGTGTAAATAATCAAAAGAAAGAAACCAAATGCAAAGGTAGGCTTTTCTGGTCGGCTAATGAATAACAACCCTTTTCTCCAAGCGCACAGCAAATGCCTTTCCGTCTTTGTGCTAGCAACGCTCCATCGTAATCGGTGCAGTAGCAATGTCCAGCTATACCTGCGGGGCCGTGGGCACTGCCTACCTCAGCTTTACTGCAAATTAATTAGGTGCCAGCTGTCTACAAAGATATTCTATTTTTGACATATCCGTAACTTCATTATTTCACACATTCCTTGCAGGAACACCATGGGTGTCTGTTTGCTCTACTCGTACTTTACCAAGAGTTGATACCCAGTAACATGCACAGAAATATGAGAAATGATAAGCAGATTAAAGACACGCGTTTCCAAAACACAGACGTATCTAGCATGTCCACTCAGCAGAGATCTACACAATCTTCAATTAATGACAAAAATATGCAAACCCAACACTATTTAAGGCCTTTGACTTCTAGATCCTAACTTCTTATAGGCCTTTGATGACCTGATTAACTAGAAAAGACATCATCTGCTTGATTCTCTAAAGAGAAAAATTCATTTAACATTCTCCCATTCTGTCACTGGCTCCTTCAAAATAACAATAAGAGTGCTCTAGACATCATATTTTTCAGTTATCAATTAATGATATATTCATTTGCGTACATATGCAGTGAGGCTTGACTATTATAATGCAATTCACCGTGAAATTTAACATCTAATTTAACAGTAGTTAAAAGAGGTAAAGGACCTCAGTAAATCTTGTATGGCTGTTGGGTTGCAAATCGTTAGCAGGTATCAATGAGGTATGCAGTGCTATGTACGCAGCGCTATGTCCCACCAGTGACTACAGGGACTTTGCTGCCTTCACTTTCCCACATACAATCCCACCCTCTTGGAATAGCAGCATGGCATTTCTTTTTTCAAAGAGATGGGATGGGGGAAGTCACAAGAGATGCAAACCTAGGGCAAACGCCTATATGACAGCAGGATAAATGATCAGGTGACAAATATATTTAGAAATCCCAAAAGTAGCCTTCAAAATTTACTACCTGCACTAGATCCCACAAAAGTTGTGGTAATTTTAATTTAATTCCTCACAATGAAGTGGCCTGGGTGCCACAAAAAAACTGAAAAATAATCAATGGTGTTTCATAGACATGCATGTTCATGAGTCCTCCCTGTTTTCATAAGTGGGGAGGTTCAGGAGAAGAAGGAGAAGTTCAGGAGGCCAAGTCAGCGGAGAGATCCCCAGGCAGGAATCTAGGACTGACACTTTACCAGGTCTTAGAGCTATACCACCAGCTTATCTCACCTATGCGTTTTAAGCTTTTAAAGGGAACATCAGCTAAATCAGTTATAAATTATACATAATGAATCAGAAACTTCAATTGTATGACTGTCAATGCATGTAAACTTTGAAAGTCTAAAAATAGGACAAATCATTGCACAAGTTTTCTTTTCTTTTCCTACTATCCTGAGGCTTCATCATGCCAAATCTATGTATTTCAGAGGTTGGTTGAACATTGAGCTAAAGTATTAAGGTTTTATTTTTCCAGATATCATGATGAAAACATTAAAAGATCAAAATTTTAGCAATTACTTATTTCAAACCCCAACATACGACATTAAAATGAAAAATATTTTAGTTGG